TTTGCCCACCCTAAATCAAAACAACGTTTCACTTGACTACACACACACACACACACACACACACACACACACACACACACACACACACACACACACACACACACACACACACACTACTCTGATACAATCTTCTGCCATTACCAATCTTGACAAGCTGCATCCACTGTACTCCCTTTGTGCCGATGGCTACCATAGAGAAGCCGATGGTGGCGCCAACGATGCAGTGAGTCCCAGAGATGGGGAGCTTGAGGAAGGAGGCAATTAGCTGCCAGACGGCTGACCCTGTGACCAAAACAGAGACAAAAATCTAACGTTTAGCTTAGTTTATTTATTTGTCCGCCTCCATGCACAAAAACAATCTCTTGGGAAAATTAGCAGTTAATTCCCATCTGCAGTTTGTGTGACATCATGTAACATCTTAAATGAGGGCCTGAGAGTGCCATTTGAAAATCCAAATGACTGCCTTAAGTTTGCAGTGTTTATAGAAGCTGAGACAAAAGTATAATCTGAAAACTACACTAGGCTTTGTTTATCCCTCCTTTAACAAAGACTGCTATTCAAAAATTGCTCAATGATGTGAGTAATTGCAGTGTTTTTGACATAGAAGATTATATATATTTAAAAAAAGGAATATTTTAAGATCCAGTCGTGAGAAAAAGTTTCGAAATAATCACTCAAATATGTCTTCTAAATCACTACATTCATTAGAGACAAATATTTTAACTAAACCAATAACACAGACAAAGTTCAACACAGAGAGTAGTTTCATGGCCCAAGCTGGAAAATCAAAAAGAACATCTGAGACTAAGACTTTAAAAAGCTCATTAAAATCAGGAAAAACTGGAAGTGTGGGTTTAGAGAGGTACCGCTCTCTATAAATAAAGTCATAAAATGTGTGTAGTGAAAGAGCACCCTGTCAAATCACTGAGGAAACAGTGAATTTGAAAATTACAAGATAACTTTAGGGGCAGCGGATCATGACCTGCAGCTCTGGAGATTTTGGGTGATGTAAGCAGACAATGACCCAAAGCGCACACAGTGAAACAATAACAACAGAGCTGCTGAAAAAAGAAAATTTGTTGCGGAGGCTAAGCCAGAGCCTTAACCTTAATCTAATTGAGATGCTGTGGCATGACCTGAAGGGGGCTGAGGACAGGAATTAAGAGGGGCCGAAACAGTTTTACAGCAGAGGTATTCTATGAGGGATGACACAACCTGCCTCCAAAGAGCCAATCAACAGCTGAACCAGGAAACTGCACTGACTCATGCACACAGCTGAGGTTCACAACAGTTTCAGCCGAGTGGCGCTAGGGAATGTGTATGTGTAGAAAAATGTGTACCATTTCTCTCGGCTTACATTTCCATAAATTGAGTTAGCATGGTGTCTGTTCAGTGCTCCGGTAAGTAGAGCTAGAAACACTCATCGAGTTAGCTGTTAAGTACTGTTTTGGGTGTATATAGTACACTTATAACCTGCAGGGGGGGGAGGCAACCTTTTAAAAGCTTATTTTGGCTGGAGATTTTATACATGCGGTTGTTTTCATTATCCTAGAGAAGCAGATAATAGGACAAATCATTGTCAGCCCTAAATTAGACTTTAAACTCCAGCAAAACACCAAAGCCTCCAGTACACAAGAAGCACTGGAGGAAGTTTTAACAATAGGTTAAAACTTCTTTAATTATGCATGAACAATATGCCAGTTAAAACGTTTCTCCAACAGTGACCTGTGGCAGCCAGCCACACCTGAATTTTCATCTCCTTGGGAATCCCCTGTGCATAATGCTGCCCTTTTTAAATCAACGTTTGCCAGCAGTCTGTCATCAAAATGGTATTGTCCTAATGGGAGACCCATTGTTTTCTGCTTTTACTGAAATGGTGGTGTGCGAGTCTCCAGTTGATACTCAACAATTCCTCTTTATGTTTCACTTCAGGAGTTTTGTTTTCCTGCGGCTCTTAGGAAATACTTACAATGCTGCAAGGTTAGCTAACATTTGCAAAGCCCCAATAAAGTTTGATCTGAAAATACATAAAAAAAAATTAAAAAAAACACTTCGTGCAGTGCCTTTCATGTACAGTAAGAAAGTGAGTGAGGTGCACTGCTTAATAACAGTAATTATGATACATACATGAGGATTGGTGCATGTCACAAGTACCAGCTGAGCCCAGGATAATATATATAACATTATTGTTAAATTCAAATTCATTTCTAAGCCTTTTATAAAGGTCTATGTCTGCATTAAGCTATGGATTTAGCAGATTTCGGGAGGATTAGCAGGGCCTAATTTGTGACATGGCAAATATTGAACAATACATATCAAAGTAGTTTATATGAGGTAATAAATAAGACATTGTTGAAGTTTTAAAAAAAAAAATTGTCTTTTGGGCTGTTGGAAAGTAATTTTTTAATTTTTCTCTTATTTTACAACTTTACAGGTGATGGGGACAAAAAAAAAAACTGAAGCATTTCCTCTTTAATATATACCATATATTACTGCAATGTGCAAATCTTTTAGGCATGTGAGAAAGATTTCTAATGTAAAGAGTTTTTATTTATTATTTTACTAGGAAAAAGCATGTGTTGTTGTAATCCTAGACGGACAGGATGATGTTGACATCAGGAAAACTGCTGTTTGTGATCGTGTGGCCGAATGGCTGAAAATAGATCTTTGGCTCTGTGTGACCCTTTGCTGGATAAGGATAGAAACTTGTAGTGCCTAAAACACTGGAGTGATGGGGGGAGGGGGGCACCTTTGGTAACACATTTTTCATCTATGGAGTGGAAGTCGCAGGAGTTTCTCTTGGCTGCAACTAGCATCACAACTAATATTAGCAAATGAATCAACTTTTAAAGATTTCTTTTCTCGTCAAAAAATTTCAGGAAAAAAAAAAAAATCGCCGAGGCAACAAAGTCAAATGTCTCTCTTCCATCGCGGCTCATTCAAAAGCCTTTTAACAGTCTTAGAAGACAGAAAAGAAAAATACATTTAAGCATCTCTAATAAAAAGCATTTACAGACTGTTTTCAGAGCTACTGACAACTATTATTCTTATTTCCAGTCTCATGGTTGTTTCCTGTTTGTTAACAGTTGTTTAGCAGCTATAACATCAAAAAGTCAAGCATGTTCTCCACTAATCGTGTTTGTTACAAGTTTTGATGAAGTCTGATGTGATTTGTAAAGGATAAAATAAAATAATGAATCCTAAATTTCATCGACATCCAAGTTTTTTTGCACATTCAAGTTACTTCAAACTTCATTCAGACATGCGACAGGTTGCAAATTTAAAAAATAAAAATAAAAACAATCACTGGGTCTATTTAGTAGAAGTGCTGTTGTGGCTTTTACATCAAATTGACTCTGGTGCTTATTCCAGCATGGCCTAAAACTGTCCATCAGATAAACATAAGGATTTGCATGTCTAAAATGAGGCTTAAGACATTAGCGGCAACTGCGTCACTCAGTGGATGTAAGAGCAAATTCAACTTACCAACCATGGCGCTGACCTCGCCTGCCATGAGCACGGGCACCGTGTCATTGTAGAGGCTGACATCTATGATGCCCTTCCGAATCGTCTCTCCCACTTTGGCCCCGAGCAACATTGAACCCAGCGTCTCGAAGATGGATGCCAGGATGCAGGCCTGCTTCAGAGTGACCACGCCGGATCCCACTGCTGTGCCAAATGAATTGGCCACATCATTAGCTCCGACTGAAAATGCCAGGACGAAGGCAATGATGAAGCCAATAACCACCATCCACAGATACGACTCCAGATCCATCTTGATATGATTTCAGGTGAGAAAAATATGCAAAGAAACAAAAATCCTGCTTAAAATATCTACAAAAAAAGACGAAGAAGAAAAAAAAAGATGAAGTGCTCTGTGCGTTTTTAGCGGAGGACTTGGTAAGCCCACACCTTCTCTTCGTCCCCTGGTTATAAAGAGTCTGAGGGGAGAAGCACAGCCGCTAACTAAGCGTTTGGAGCTCAGTCCAAAGATTGGAGGTTAGTGATGGTGGGAGCAGAGAGCATTCCATAGCTTAGTGTGAGACAGTCGGTCTGCACGTTCTTTCACCTGCCGGAGAAAAGAGAGAGAGGAGAGACAGAAACAGATTAGTGTCATAAGCTATGATTACTCTTTTTCAACACCTCCTGACAACACCTCCCTGTGACTTCCTCAGAAAACCAAAAACAAAGAAGTCTGGGTGGGACTAGGAGAGAGGGGAGGGGAGACACACATAAATGAAAGATTCGGGATAGATGATGATGAAGCAGAACTGGCTTTGATGAAACAATGATAGCACTCCAGTGCACTCCAGTGAGAAAAGCTGAGGACATCTCAGATATCTACAATAGGAAATCACAGTCTGCACTTCAAAGGAATCAAATCAGATCGTGCAGAGGGTTTGCTGTCAGCACTGACACTATAAAAAGATCACCGTTTCCAGAATGAGACATGAGCAATGCTCCGAACATTAGAAAGGCTAGTATCATTTTATCCCCGCGCACCAGGGCAGCTGACAACCTTTGCCACGCATTCAGACAATCTCAGACAGGAGTTTATAATTTACTTAGTTTTAATGTTCAACCACACAAAAAAAGAAAAATCACACCATCTGTTATTATTTTAATCCGACCCAGTGATGCCAACAGTGATAACAGAGAATTTTTAAGTATTCTATGAAATGTTAAAACGGAAATGTTAGTCATAAAGTTGCTTCAGTGGCAGCCCAGTAGATGTTTTCTTGCCAGATTTACATTATAGCTGGTTTCCAATCTGTGCTCCTTTAGCCTCAGCGTCACTATAATTGTGCTTGCCGGGCGACACTGAAAGGTACACGAGTTTTGTAACCAGCTTTGGAGTACAAGTTCAAACAGAACCAAATGCTCTGGTGCAGTGCAAAAAAGAAAAACGTGGTGCGTTTAAGTTAAGACTGCAATGCAGCAACAGCATCTGCGCTGATGTTCTACTGCTGCTCGAGGTGGGAGTAGTTCACAACATTGCACCTTTGCAGGTCAGATAGCAATTTATAATACATTTCTTGAGGGGACTTACAAGACTCTTCGTTTCTGATGTGAATAACTATAAAACAAAACTATTAAGCCCCTATTTCCTAATTCTCTTCTAAAATTTAAAAAGTATTGTTCTGGGGGGGGGTGGGGGGGGGGTGTTTCACAGTTAACCTCAAACAGTCTGGAATGGTTTCATTTTTTCTCTCTTCTGTTTTTTTTTTTTTTTAGATTTGTATTTCAATAATTGGATTCGTTACACTACTAAAGTCATTTAAAAAGAATTTATTTTTGTATTAGTAAGGGGCGATCGTGGCTCAAGAGTTGGGAGTTCGCCTTGTAATCGGAAGGTTGCCGGTTCGAGCCCCGGCTTGGACAGTCTCGGTCATTGTGTCCTTGGGCAAGACACTTCACCGTTGCCTACTGGTGGTGGTCAGAGGGCCCGGTGGCGCCAGTGTCCGGCAGCCTCGCCTCTGTCAGTGCGCCCCAGGGTGGCTGTGGCTACAATGTAGCTTGCCATCACCAGTGTGTGAATGAATGGGTGGATGACAGGTTGTGTAAAGCGCTTTGGGGTCCTTAGGGACTAGAAAAGCGCTATACAAATACAGGCCATTTACCATGTTTACCTGTTTAAAAGCCGATCGCATCCACTAAAACCTCACCACTGTTCCCCAAGGCTTACACACAACACAACAACAACAGCGACATGCTTTAAAATAAGATGATGAGGCCACCTACTACGAAGCCTCCAGTGGTCTTTAAGAGGCCTCTATGCCGCAAATGACTTTGCTTGGGTTTTTAAGTTTGTATCTTCATGGGGACCAATGACAGCCTACTTCCTTCTATGGTTAAACCTGTGGGAGGGGGGGGGGAGGGGGTTCTTTTATGGGGAAGCATTAAATGTAAACAGCTCTTGGCATAAACCGACTGCATTCTCCTCGCGTGGGGGGCAAGCAGCTCCTTTCTAAATAGCCTGTGGCCAGTTATGGCTCCCTCCTCCCGACCGAGAATTCCATCTGGAACAGTCGGTGTCACGCACTCTTAGCCTTTATCCTTTGCAGAACCACAACAAACACATAAAAACATGATAATTTGTCTTTTGATCAAGACCTCCTGGAACAGGGATCCATTAGTGACACTAAAAATGATTACGTTGCTGCTGATTTGAAAAATAAGTGGACGCATTTCTTGGTTTTCTCACAGTAAAATCACAGAAGTGAAGGTGAGGAGAGCTCAGACGCTGCCAAATCTCAAACAGAATGAGTAAACAATGACTTGATGATGTACTGACCCCCGAGGTGAAATCCTCTCCAGTGAGAGAAACACATCTGAGCACAAGTTGAGTGCCTCTTGGCCAAATCTTTATGTATTATTGTAGGATCTACCTTACAATATAAAGTGCCTTGAAGTGACTGTTGTTGTGATTTGGCGCTGTATAAATAAAACTGAATTGAATGAATTAAAAAGTTAAAGAAACCAAGCTCGTGAACTTGTGTCCATCGGCATAACGAATGAAAATTAATGATGAACGATAAAAAAGACAATATAAGGCGGGGCATGATTTTATCTCTGATTACTTAATTGCTTCCCGACTCATATCTGCTGCTTGTAATTATGTCAATTCATAATAAAAGGCAGTTTAATAAAGGCCGCACCAATATGAAAAGCTACCCTAAACTGATTTCTCACCGAATCTTTATTGAATAAGTTAAAGAATCCATGTGTGGCGGCTTGTTTCATGCCATTGAGTAGCGCTCTCTAAAAATGTTTTCTGCAGTCAATGTATTGACTCTGGCAAAGTCTGAAGGACTAACAAGAGACTGTGTAAATGTTTATTCCGGGGAGCACTGCTGCCACAAGACGACCACATCACACACCAAAGTCAAACACGAGCGTCCAGCCAAACACATCTGCAGCAAAAGCAGACTGAACGTCCTGTGCCTTAGGGTGACATGGAAGAAAGATAAGAAAGTGATTTGAGCGTGGGTGTGATCTCTAGGTCAGCTGGTCATAATTTTATTGAGTACGTTCTAAAAAAAGAAACTCAACATGACCGACCCTTAGACTGAAGTTCACTCACAGCCACTCCTAGCTGTGTATATAAAATCTAAAAACAACGACACTTTGTGATGTCCGTGACAACGCCTGCTAAAAATGACCGAAGTACAGCGCATTTCCAGAACAAACACCTGCCTGCTGCTCTCCATGTCTGATTTCTCACTGGTGACATCTGACGGCAGCGAAATCTGCACTGAACTTTGAGAACATCTGAGACGCGGGGCAGGAACGATCACGCTTTTTCACAGATGACCCCACGTCCTTGAACACAACTCAATAATCCTACCACGACCTGGAGTATGCACTGATTTGGATCAAGCCATTTAGCAAAGAGATTCAGTTTCATATTCATGTGTGTGATTCAAGCTAAATGGACTGTCTGGCTACATGACCTTCAGAATGAATCTTTACAGTTTTTGCCTGAAAGCAAAATAAGAACCGTTGCACGGTGTGTCATACAACCTATTATCTTTCCATTTTATTGCCATTTACCAAGAGCGGCCCTTCTGTAATTCACTTGTAACAATCAATGAATAATTCATGTAAAATATGCGCTCAGTGTTAGCAGAATAAAATAGAAGCAAGGACGGAGCAGAACCACAATGCAAATTGATGCACTGCAAATGTAATTGCAATTGCTTTTTGCTACCTGGATAAGAATGAACTCCGTGATGTTTCTATTTTGCAGGTCGTTGGGATGCAGGGAAGTAACCAGGTGATGAAACAGTAGCATACAAAATTTAATTTGAAAATTGGCAGCAGAGAGAGGAAATCATGTAACTGTTCAAACAACTTAGAAGAAATGTTTGAGATAAGGTGCACACAGGAAGGAGTCTGACCCGCTTTGTTAAGGAAATTAATGCATAGGTGCCATTTCGGTAAAAACACTGAGTCAGTTAAAAAAAAAAAAAAAAACTTGGAAGTCCAGCTCATATTTATATGATGTGATTTTATCTGCCGAAATGAAGCATCTCGTTTCCAACACAGCTCAGGTGAATCATTTACAACCTTTAAAAACTGTGCCGCTGCCGCTCTCCAAGGTGCTGATCCTGAGACCACCAGGGATGACTGAGGTGACTTTGATAGACTTTTTAAGAGCAAGAGCAATATTCAGGTCACGATTAATGTGCCTGAGAAATGCTGGAATTATAAGGGAAAATTCTGGATACAGTGGCCCTGAATAGTTTCAGATGAGTATGAAGAGTCGATTAACAGGCACCATTTCCACAAAGGATGTTGTATCATATTAGGGCTGTTCGATATAACGATATATATCGGATGACGATATAAAACCGTCTATCGTTTCATTTTACGCTATCGTTTGTTTCGTGGTGTCGCAAAATAAACTGTTTACGGCAATATTTTTTTCATCGTGGCTATATTAATTTCTTAAAGTTCTCTCTTTCTCTTATATTTTATTTGACAAGCGCCTGTTTTTATGGTTGTGATTAGCAACAACTACGGTAACAGCATCGCGTGTCCGCTTGTTTATGTTCCACATAAACCTTTCACAATAAAGCTCAAGATCCTGTTGAGACTTTTCAAAATAAACTGAATCACGTGAAAGAGCAGATTATTTACGGATGAGAAGTAAAAAAGAGCCGCCAGGTGCTAAAAAAGAAACCTTAGACTCAAACGTTAGAACAGGCTTTTCCCCGCAGCACGCCGTGTAATAAATACGCAAAGAAAACAGCGGCCTTTACAACTTATGTCTAAAAGTGTATCGTTTCATGCATCGGTTAAAACACTCGACTCCAGCTGCATGACGCGCAGCTGGAAACACTTCCCGCAAGTCGAGCTGCCCGAGATTCACAGAATTTACAGAAAATGTTACATTTTTGTGATTTATATCGTTATTGGGACGATAGAATTCTTATATCGGGATATGAGATTTTGGTCATATCGCACAGCCCTATATCATATGTATAATACCTTCATTTTGTTTGTTTTGTCTGTTGAAATTTTATAATTTTTTGCATCAAAATGTTTCCAGTTGGTACATGGCCATACTTAAGCCTAGTTTATGGTCACCCACACTCACATTTACCTAAGGCCTATTTAGAATTACCAATTAACCTAACTCCACTAACTAAAGCCAGAGAACCCACACAAACACAGAAAAACTCCCCACACAAAGACCCTGCCCTGATGGTGGAAATGAACTGAACAGTTAGCTACAGTGCTAACCCCTGCAACACTTTCATACGCTTGAAAAATATCTGAAACTGAAATAACAAGGACATTGGTACATTTGGAGACACTGCCTTAATTTTCAAAAATACATCACAAACTAATAAGAGCTCAGATATTTTTCTGGATCCAGGGTCAGTCCAAGGAGATGAACCGGCAGTTCCTCCTGAACATGGAAAATTGGAAATTAATAGAATTTATAAATATCAAGGTAAAATGTTCTTTAAAAAAATAAACCCCACACTCCACATCTTATTATAAACACCACCAGTTCTGCATTTCAATTGTCTGTTTAACCTTTATTTCGAAAAAATGTTTGTAAATTGTTGGCCTTCCTTGTTTGTCCGCTAACAGTTTGAGGTTTTATCTTTGAGCGACTGTGTAATTGTTCCCAAAGAGCAAACCACGGCCTTGCACAGCAACGGTGCGCCAAGAGTACCTAAGAAAGCAACCCTAAATAAAAACACTGGAAAGTGACTCCGTAAAGCAACCTGCTCTTGAGGATTATTTCTGGCAGACTCATTTTCTTCCTGTGGATGTGGGTTGCCAAACAGTATCCATAATGAGAGCACTGACACAGACACACATGAACAAACTCAGAAATGACACAACATGGGCAAACAAGGCTAAAGTGGGTCTTCGTGTTTTCTGTGCAGAAGAAATTAAGCAAAGTAGAAACATTTAAACCTGAAAATGTTTTTTTCTGGAATGTTTTTTTTAAACCAGTCCAGCAATTACAGAGCAGCAGCATCATTCTTGGGGAGGCTAGATGCCAATTCACTCTCGCTTCGCTCCACTTCTTGGCCTCTATCAATTCTTGACACCTAATCTTACATTTGCAGGTGTACAGTGGGTTTCTATTCAATAGCTGCCATCTGTAGCCAAAACTGTACTCCTTCACATATCTGATACATTCTTATAGACATATGGATAGCTGTTTAATAAAATATTGATTTTTAGACTTTTTATTGACCCCAAAAAAATGCAGAGACTGCCAGCTAACCTGTAACACTACTAGAGCGTTTCACCTGTTACAGCATCGGCCCCTAGCCGCACGTGTTGTGTGCCATGGACTGTAACACGAAGCCTCTGTGCAAACTACTTCCAGTGATTAGTTTAACTGTTTGTTATCACTGCTGAACAGTGATCATTAATCCGCCGGAGATGCCAATGCACCACAGCCACAGCTGGTGCAAAACACTGTGTCACGAGCTACAGTCTGCATTGACACGCGGCTCCTCTATCCTCACACTGATTCAGCCCCCTCCCCTTCCTCTCATCCTGTCTAGGCACATGCTGAAAGAAACAGAACTAGAACATACATCTAGTGTCAAGATGATGACTCACAGCAGCATCCTACTAGCCGGCTAATTGTTATACCTGAAGCATACGCAACTGCAGTGCCTTCAAGGACACCGGATGCTCGCATCTACCAGATGGCTCAGTAAGTTAAGAGACGGAGAGAGATTATATTTAATACCACAAAACTATGAGAAACAGGAAGCCAAGTACAGAAAGATCAAATCCTTTAAAACAGCACCACTCACCTTCATGACACTTCACATCAAGAGGAGATGGGACAGTGGTGGAAATGAATAAACATCAAAGACGAAATGTATTTTTTGAGGGGAGGTAGAGGGGGACAGAGGGAAATGGCAGTATGGAAAAGAAAACAGACTGGGAAATAGAGTGGCGAGTGATTGATCAGAAATAAAATTACGCAGAGAGACGGGAAGAAAACTGATGATGAACGAGGAGAGGGGAAGAGAAGGAGCAGAAGAGGTTTACTGAGGAATCGGCAGGTTGTGGTGGTGTTGCAGGAGAGAGGACGGCGCGAGCTAACCACCAAGAGCGAGGGAGATAAAGAGAGAGAGCGAGCAGCACAGCCAGCTGAGTCTAGACTGCCTCTTAAAGGAATTTATCTGCATTCACAGCACACATCAACCAATGACAAATGTCGTAGAAGAAGAGGTGTACCACTGACTGGTTATCTGAGTGCAGAGAGGATGGACAGACAGGGGGGAGGCGGCCAATGTCTGTGGAGGAGGACAGCCAGCAATGGGGGGGAGAAGAAGAGGAGCTGAACCTGCGTGGATGTGTTTTACAGCCAGGGAAAAGCATTCAGACAGATGAAGGGCATTCAGAGCACTTCCCTCTCCTTCATCACTCTGATCCCAACGCAAGTAGCAGACCGATTCATATAATAATAATAATAATAATAATATTATTATGCACACATACTAGAAAACGATGCACAGATGAACGCACACTGTCATCTCTAGCTGTTGTTATTGCAGAATAATCAGTATAATGAAATGAACTAAGACAGGACTACTTTTCTTTGTAATACAGAAGCCTATCACACAAGAGCGCACAGCATTTCAGCACCATTATTTGGCTGGAGCCCACCCATCACTTTCTCTGCCTTTCTCTCTCTGCCACAATTGTTCCTTTCAAAGACACGCCGAACAGTGCGTCTTTATGTCACTTGACTTGTGCGGGAAGAGATAGGGGCTCTCGTCGACACAATGAAGAGCCCAGGCCAGAGCTGATGTAGGCGACAAAATGCAAAGCCACAGAGTTCGCATCTCTTCAGCAGTTCCTCAACACGTCACTGATAATTAAACAAGAAGAATGGCAAGAAAAATCCTATACTTGAGATGACTTTACAGGGAAACAAACTCTAATTGGCTACGACCAGCAAGGTTTTTGTTCTAAACTTATTGGAGATTTGGCTCAACAATAAACTACCTGCTTCCTAAAAAGTTTCTCTTTTAACCTTCACAAAATCTTTTGTGTGGATTTTTTTCTTTGTTTTTTTAAATCATTACTCACATGCGCCATTGAAGCCAAGAATAAGTCAGATGCCTCCACAGCACACTCTGGGTCCTGTTCCCTTCCTCCTCACATACTGTCCAAGGGCTAAAAACACGGTGACCTCATCTATCCAGTTCTGTTCAAAGGTCTGATGTTGTATTTGTTTGAGCTTTCTCTTCTATCGCCTCTCAGCTCATTCTCTCCCTTTCTGTCCCCCAAACTGGCCCTGCCTGCTAAAAGCCAATCTGCGTCAGCTGCACCTGCTGCCTCTGACTCTGTACTTCGCAGCAGGGAGGCACTGTCTCTTAGAACCCAAACACGCACACATACACACACATGCTACAGTCCTATGATCAGTCAGCGTCGATGGGCAGGAGGGGGGTCGCTTAAGAATGACAACAACAGCGCATGTCGCTCTCAGCACCATCTTCAAAAGGTTCACCAGACACACACACACACACACTTTCATAAATCCTCTCACTAAGTCTATTTATTTTCTCCCCGCATTGCAGCACTAAGTCCGGTTGTTAAGAAGGGAATAACTCTTCAGATTGCTTCTGATGGAAACACACAGGCAATCTGTCAAAAATTTATGCGAGCACACAGCTAAATAAATAGTCTCCAGTAGAGATTTTTGCTAGATTTACTTTTGTAGAGATTCTGCTATCTCTGCACAATGACTAAAGTCTCAAGATAGGCTGCTTTGAAATAAAATCCCCTCTTAACTTTGTTTCTAAAAATATGTTCATTTTCTCTTTATTTCACTATTACATAAAACCTGACAGCATCGAGTTCCTATCATCGTTTCAAATATAAGTTAAAGATACATTAATGCAGCTGCGTTGGTTAAAACTCGCTTACAGTAAAGTATTTTGTTGAAAGGGGGACTGCTTTTATGGGGCATTCAACACACTGCAAAGATGACTCATGAATGGATTTTGTGACATTAACACAGCGTTGCAACGAACAACAAAAAGTCAATAGTAATAAATCCCTCAGAGTTAACCTTTAACCTCAATTGAATGTGGATATCGGCTGCAAAATGTACCACAAAAAGATTACTCCAACAATTTACATAGAGCCATTTTAAATGCTGATAAGCCTTTTTTTTTTTTAAGTGCCAAAATTCTTACAGCAGAACCAAAGATTCTCCACACATTTCTTCAATGTCAAACTTTGGTATTTAGGTTTCCCGCAATGCAACCAGGAACATTTTCTGAACATTGGGTGTGCTATCCTCTAGCTAATGGCTGTAGTCTCAACCCACAACCATCAAGCAGAGATGAGGTGCATGCTAAAGAGGTCTGACAGACCTCTTTAGCACTTGGTTTTAAAACATGTACGGGGTGACTGGATCACAAGTGGACAGCAGAGGCACATCGTCATTTAAACCTGTGCCACTTGTGTTTGGATCTCATTAATGTCAAAGGGTCCAGTGCACCATTATTACATGCATCTGTCACCAGTGAAGAAACAGATCATATTTTAGCGAGTGCTAGCACAATGTTTCAAGGACTAATATACATGTATGAGGAGAATGACAGGGCAAAGTCATTCACAGGTTGCAAAAAGGGTAGAGGACAAGATGAAGGACCACGTCCTTTCTCGGGACATCTTTTCTTCTTATGTCCATGTTGACGATGCATTTGTAGTTTATACACCAGGTAGTCATATGCGACAACTTCAGCAAGTGTTTGGACTTCATGCACTGAAATGAGTCAGGGTGGTCATTTACACTTATTTAGCACTTTCCACTGTAATCTGATATCTCAAGGTGTATTTTAATACCAGGTGTAAATAGGGACATAAAGTTCTGTGCAAAGGTCTTTAGTCCCCCTTCGTTCCTCTATATTTTGCCAGGAAAATTGGAAACAGGTGCAGTGAATTATTGAAACATGTCCAAACATACATAGAAATACAATAAATAAGACAAAAACAGAGTTTCTACAATTCTATCAACCTTGAAAGTTAATATTGAGTATGACTAATATTATCCCTCGACACTGTCTGAACTTTCCAAGGCAGGCTTTCTTAACCCTTTAAGACCTACCATAGAACCAAGTCCGCCAGAGCTTATCTTTATATTTTTACATGCTGTAGTGCCATTTTTGGGAGCATTTCAAGTTGCTATACATCAATACAACCGTTATAGCCCAAATTTTAATAATATGTATGCATTAAATCAATAGAAACTACATAAATTGCAAAAAAGTGCAATAAACTGCCAAAAAAATTGAAAATGGTTTTTGTTTTGTTTTTTATATATATATATATATCTCTACTTAGAGAAATTTAAGAGGTTTATTCCTAAAAACTGTAAATACAAAATTCATTTTTGAGAAACACCAATTTTTATATACTGCAGGAAAAACTAAAACAAATATTGTAATGCAAATTTGCAAAAAAAACTGCATGTGCATCACAATAAACTATTTCCAGCAGTGCAATTTGAGTCCTAAGCGTCCCAGAAACTATTCAGAAAAGTCAAACATGACTTTTAAAAACACCAGCAAAGGCTTATAAGGCCTTGAAGGTAAAAAAATACTTTTTCCACGAAAATGACGTCACTTCGGTTTCGGGCAGGTAATGGCGGACATACAATAGTTCGCGCTGGTGTCTATTCCAACCTAGGAAGTGTTATGAACAGCTGATCGGATCGGCAAAGCGTGGAATATATTATGTTTTTGTTGCTGCCAGTGCTTTATATACAATTTTTCCAAAGCTATATGTGGAAGGAAACCATGACCTAGGACAAGCTAATGGCATAACATGTAAGTACAACTCCTCCGGTTTCATATGCAAAAAAAAATACTGCGCTACCTTAAGTGGTTCCAGTTCTACAGAGATTTAAAAATAGTTACGCAAAACGGAGCGTGCCCGCTCGGACCGGTTTTAAAGGGTTAAACTAGTCTTCATTAATAGTTCTCCAGTCTTCTTGAAGGACTTTAAAAGATCCCACAGTGCTTCAAAAATGTAGAGGTTCAAGCTCTGGTGAGGCCAGTCCATGGCTAAAAGTGCACCATTGTGTGTTTTTCTATCCAGGTGTGCTTTACTGCAAAGGAAGGGTGTTTGGGATCATTGTCATGCTGGAAAATAAAGCTGCTGTCAATCAGATGCTTTTCACATGCTATTGCATGTTGGATCGAAATCTGACGGTACTTTAATGTGTACATAACATAAATTTTGACAAGATCTCCAACACCATTGTTTGAAATACAGCCGCATTGGAAAGACCTGTCACCACTGATTTTCAGTCTTGTTCTTGCATAATTTGGGATACCTCAACCTTTTCTCTCCCTTCTTTAGGGATGCCTTCTTGATAGCGACCCTTCCACCAAGACCATTTTCTGATGAGGCTTCAGTGAACACCAAATGGAGCAACTGAAGAGTCAGATACATCTGCCAGGTCCTGTGTCAAGTCTTTGCTATCTTTTGCATTTTTCATAGATTCGTCTAAAGAAATTGGAACAAATTTTGTGTTTTTGTGACTGACTGATAGTAACAGAGTACCTAAAGATACAATTTGGGTTCTTTGCCAAGTTGTCTGCTATGTATGGACACAAAAAAAGCCTGGACAACTATTACTTAGTGTGGTAGTACTGAGACTCTCAGACCAATTACCCCAAAAGTATCGAATACATTTCCTGCACTATCAGAGGAGAAAGAAACAAAATTTTCATCACAGTCTCTAATAAGGCCTCTGTTACTGTTGGATTTGGATCTGTGTTATGAAAGCTTTTGCCGCTTAATTACCTCTGGCTAACCCTCAGACAGCAATTATCTTCGATACAGTTTTAAAATGACATTCTCATGCACCTAACAAATATCCAAGCCTTTATCAATGCTAAACCGAGCTCTGGTGCAAGAGCAAACAATTGAGCCCCCCTGTGGCTTTCAATGTTGTGTAAGGCTTAGGTTTAAATACTCTTAAGGTCAGCTCTCTCTGGTTTCAGTGGAGACTATGCATGGGTTTGACACCCTTTCTGAGAAATGGCAAACCAAGTAAAGCGACTCATCCCTATTTAAGCGTCTGTATGACTGTTTTAAATAACAGCCAGACACACTGCACAGAACCTAACACTGCTCGCCCTTGTTGAGGTTTCTAAGGCATCCAAATAAGGAAATTAACTTAGATCAATAAAATCAGTGTAATTAAAGGAAATACTGACTGAATGCATAAAAAAAACATAGAAAACGTCACAATAACTTCAATAATTATACTTTCTATACTTGAAGTTCATAAATTTGGGACTTTAAAGCCAAGGACACACACAATAACCCATGTACCCAATGCACAAAAACCACCAAGGCTAAAATAGCAGCTCACAAAGGATGGAGTGCTCAGAATAATGCTTTTAGGCAAGCAGAAACTATTAGTCACCTCTGAGAATAACCCATGCACACAAGTGGGATCTTAGTAGACCAATCAAACAGTGCCACAAAGAAGGAAAAAAAAAAGAGCCAACAATTTATTACTAACAATAAGAGGGCCAGTTATTCAGGCAAGCCCTCATATCATGTGACTGACACAATTAGGCTTGGTACCTACCAACTATTTGGGGCCTTTTTTGAGGCTGCAGTCTGGCTTTTTTCACTTTCTGCCATCTGTGTCCATGTTCCTCAGTGTAGGAGTCATCTTACCCCTGACCCTTTCTCCGTTTTCCCCTCCTTGCTCCCTCCCTTCCGTACTTAGTTTTGTCCGAACAGCTCCAGTTCTTTTCCACGAATCAGCATAGGTACCCAAACGCAAAAAAACAAATCCCCTTCAGCCCTGTCCTTGCTTCCTTCTTCACTCCTGTGCCGACCCCCTGCCACCCTCTCCTCTTTTTAGATGTGGAAGCAGAACAATTTTGATCTGGCTCTGTACTCACATAGCACTGCCAGGACCTCCAGCCTACCTACTTTTTTCTTGACCGCTGAGACTGGTAATCTACTGCTGGCATGTTCTGTGGTATTAAACTGTGTTACTGGGACAAAGTGGGTGCCGGTATAAGTGAGTGCTGGAAATGTAGGGCAAAAATGGCGAAAGAGTCCAGTGAAAAATGAGACATACCAACATGATTAAATTATGTTTTGGTCCATGTTTACACCAGTGGGAATAAAGCATGTTGTCGCCTCAGTATTTTGTCTACACTAAAGCTGCCAAGTGACCCATGAAACTTCAAATGGTCTCCAAAGTGGAGATCTAAAACCTCTGGGATTGTTATGTAATGCGAAAAGACAAATATGAGGCCTTTTAAGCAAATGCTGACATAGGATTTCGTGGTCCTGAGTGCCACAGGATCCAGAACAATATTCACTATAAAGCTCTTTGCTTGGGAGGGGAGAATGATTTTTCCCTCCAATTTTGTTTACCGTTTATGTTTGAATTTCTCTTACTTCCTCTGTATCCTAATAAAAAGTATGAGAACATATGTGTAGAACACAAGCACAACAAAATGATTCACCTAACATGCTCCTATTTGTGATGTTTTTGGTAGTGCTAGCTGTTCGGGAACGTTCTATGTGGTGCTAGTGTCCCGCCAGTGGAACAGTGTGTGGTAGAAAGGTTAAAGGAGGACACTATTGGATACATAAACAGTACGTGTACGTGCAGATACTTTAAGCTGTGGGTACTTTTTTTTTTAGCAAAAGGATTATGAAAGCGCTTTGTTTTGTTTCACATTAAATCTATAGTATTTGTATATAACACGCTTCAGTGACCTTGGATGGCTGCAGCCACCGCATGTGAGGTTAAACGTAAGTATAAGACAAAGCCAGAGAGAGAGACAGAGCAAAAAGAGAATGAGAGAGAATGGCTCCTCCTAAGCTGCATCTAGTGGCCGTGCCCTCTTGCTCTTAATCCTGGCTTCCAGCACATGACACAGCTAACACTATTACAGAGTGCTTTGATTAGGCCTGCTGCTGCGCGCACGTAGTGACAGACGTAGCGGTGGCAGGGGTACGTGGGGTCTTGTACTTTGGTACCACTTTACAGGAATGCCAGGCCTCTGCGTAGATGCATGTACAGCCACACAGTGTAATTAACTACATGTCGACCCAAGCGTACACGGCTTACACACACTCGAAGAAAAGGCACGAGGCCTGACAGATTACATCTGCAAGTCAGTGAATTGGTGGATTACCCCATTGCTGTTATTCTGAAAACTGAGAGTAATGCTCAACAATGTGCAGTTAGCATTAGCCATGGGTAATGTCTTTGTCCTAAGAATGAGTTGCAGTAATGGTACTTAGACTGTTTACAACAGGGAGGGGATTTTCACATGACAACTTCAGCAGCAGGCTTTAATCGCATCAAGGGGTTTAAAAAAAAAAAACAACAACTGTATTTTTATAAACTAAGAGGAAAAAAGCTAACTGAGGACGTAACTTAAGTTTGCAGACAGGAAAACAAATGCTAAATTAGAGAAAAAAGGTCAGTCCATCATCAGTCGTGAATTTGCAGTCAGATTTATCAAAATCAGATTTCTTTATTTATGTCTGAATTTTTCGTTTTCTGTTTTTAAAATACATAAATTAAGTGTATCCTCACTAAAACCATGGCGATATATTAGTAACTGCACTGAATCTCAATTGTCTTAGTTAAGGGGAGCTGAGGACACAGCAGCTCCAGACTCAGACGTTTCTGAACTACAAATACTCTGTTTATCTCCTGGAATGATTGATGACAACAGAGACGGAACAGTCCACAGGCAGGCCGCTGCCAGTGAACAAATGCGTGCATAAACAAAATCACAATCACGAATCCAGGACTGTCAACAGAGCACTGCATGGCAGGAGATGTTGGTCTACGTTGCTACGTCTGTGAAAGAACAAATGGCTTAATCTGAAAATTACACAGTAAACACAGTGTGGCCAGTGTTATCACATATTCAAGCTGCACCGCACATTCATGGCACATGGTGTCCACACACAGACACAACGCAGTTTTCAACTTTAAGGAGGTGTGTTCAATTTTGCATTTGTGGGGCAAGCTAAGGTCACACCCAGGTGCTCAATACAAGTGTCCTAGCGTTCTGACTAAATGAAGAACCTGCAATCAAAACTGATAACAATTCTCTACACAAATGTGCAAATTATTTATCTGTCCTGATATGCGCAGCCTTGTCAGAATATTTCAC